TGAGGGGTGGGAGTAGGGTGGGATGCGGGCGCCTGTGGGCTGAGATCTCCCGGGCCACTGAAGCGGGCTGGGCCGGTGTCAGCGCGCATTTATTGATGGCAGGTATTTGGGGAGTAATTGAGCGCGGCGGCCGGCCCGGGGCGAGAGTGGGCCTCCACGAGCAATTAAATGTGATTAGGCCGAGACCTTCGGGATCCAGCTGGGTGATTGATAACCCGGCCGCATTCCTGCCGGGCCCGCGACATCAAACGGGCGGCCGGCGGCGGGCGGGGCGGAGGGGCGGCGCGCGGGAACCCGGTCCTTCTCCGGCCGGCGCTGCCTCTCTTGCCCGCGACGCCCATGGTTCCTGGGGGAAAAAATGAGTGACGTGCCCTTCTCCTGTTCAAGGGTCTCTCTCTTGCTCGTTTCCAGGTGCCGCAGGGGAGAGATGGGTACGAAAGGGCTGTGGTGGCGAGGAGCCCACTGCGCCAGGGCGCAGCGCCGGGAGTCGGGCCGCGCTCCCGGGATCCGACACGAAATCGCTGGAACCGGGATAGAAAGAATGAAAAGAGGGGGCAAGAAGGGGCAAATAGGTGACAGGGGGAGTAAGAATATGTAGGAAACGGACAGAGGAGCAAAATGGCAGGAAAAGAAGAGACAGGAAAAGAGGGATAGAAGAGTTAACAATGAGCGTGTGAACTGTATAGACAGTAAGAAAACAGAAGGGAAAAGTGAAAGCTACAACGTGGGATGGACATGAAAAAGAACGGAAGGAGAAAGGGGAAATAAAGGAGAAGCAGCAAAAAAGGTTAAGCAAAGATCTGGCGATCGGGGGAGAAACTAAAGACGAGAACGGGAAACGAGAGCCTGAAGAATGGGAGAAAACGGGAGAAAGAAGGAAGAGGCCAGCAAAGAGGAGGCAGAGCTGAGCTGGGTCCCTCTCTCGCTTCACCCCCAATCCCTGCCTCAATCTCAGGGAAGTCTAGGGGCCCAACCCAGTGCCCCCTGGCGCCGTAGGAGACTGGCATTTGCCCCCACCAGCCTGATTCCAGGCCCAATCCAAGTGCTGGCCCAGCTCCTTCCCTCCCTGGGCTGGATGAGGGGACCCTGCCCCAGACCAGAGTAAGGAGTGGGCTCCCTGCACCCCAAGCCCGGGCCCCACAGGCCATAAATCACAAGTGGAGGTGCTGGAGGTTCCTGGGGTCGTTGCCTCGGGATCCCCGGAGTCTCTGGAGCCAGGGAACAGTTTCTGTCTGTGCTGACTCCACAGACAGGATCAAAACAGCATGAAAGAAATCAGAGCGAGAACGTCGGCAGGAGCTGGACTTCTAAAACCCCTTCCGCCCCCATAGGCTTCAATATTAAAAAACCCCCTAGGAGCCTCAGACACTGTATTAATTAGTGCAACCACCCATGAAAAGTTGGGTTTGGAGCGGCATTCTTTGCCCTGTGTGAAAAACCAAGTCTAATAAACAATTGTTAAGTTGGCCTGTTGCCGCTGGTAAATTACATAGCATTAAAAAAATAATGCTTTTCATATTAGGCACTAATTAAAGGTTGGGACAGCTTTAAAACAAGAGAGGGAGGGGGGAAATCAAAGAAAATATAAAAATGTTCTTTCAAGAGTTATGGGAGGTTAATAAAGTATGTCTGTTAGAGTGAGCCTACTTTGCCCCCAGCTACAGCCAAACTGGAGCCACCACAATTGGGTCTCAATAAGATAATGATATTCCTTTCTCTGCTATTAAAAGCCTCCCAGTGCAAACTTAAAATGATTTATTTAATTTGGGAAATTATGAGGTGTAACTTCAAAGCTTGAGCCGTTAGTAATGGAAAATACCAGGTTGTTTAAAATTATAATAATAATTGTTTGGAGGACTCAGGACATCAAAGTGTTTTCATCAACAAATGCAGAAGGGTTCAGGGGAGGTTGGAAAGAGTCAGAGGAGGTGGATGGAGTTCGGATTTGATTATTATGAGCCTTATCAGGGCAGGATTCTGGATTCCTGAAGCCTGGTACTCTATTCTGCTTTGAAGCAGTCTGTTTTGGAAAGTAATTTTACTGCTTTTTTTTAGTTCCTAGCAGGGAGGAGGTGAGAGGAGTTTGGGTGGTGAGAGAAGGGTAGAAGGATCCAGGGGCTGACAGCCCAACTTTTCTTGATTGCTCTCTGACCAGTTGTAGTAAAGACACCTCATTAAAGCATCACCATTCTGGAAAATTTTTTCTTCACTTACATTGAAGAGGGAAACAGGCACAATCAATCTCACCAACCAGGTCCTATGATTTCAGGAAAAGTGTGTGTGTGTGTGTGTGTGTGTGTGTGTGTGTGTGTGTGTGTGTGTGTGACGTGGGTTCTTTTATAAATGAGGTTTATGTTTATTCCAAACCCATCAGTGGAGAGGGAAGCGGGGGTGGGGGAATGGGAAGTGGGGGTGGGGGAATGGCTTCTCCAACCCGTGGCAAATGAGAGGCTTTTATAGCAAAGAATGGCCGTGGGAGTTTTCCTTCGGTCAGACAAGGTTCTGCTCAAAAGCAGGGATCCTCTTTTCAGTCAGGTCAGGCAGACGTTTTGCCAGCGCCTGCTCCCAGCCAGCCAGGCCCACACTGCTTACCTCCTGCGGACCGGTCCCAGCACCACCTCCTCAGAGTGGCAGTATGGAGGGCGTCAGGCTGAGCCCGTCCAAGTGACAGAGACACTGGGGCCTCAGTGGAAGCCCCTCACAGCAAGGAGGGGTGAGGAAGGGAATGCGAGAGACTCCAGAGCTGGGCTGTCAGGGTGTGGGGATCTGGAGAGCAGCAGGTCTGGTTCAGCTCCGGGGGGGCTGCTTTGCCATCCCTCAGGCCCATCAGGCTCAGTTAGGCTAAATTCTGCTGGGGCCCCTTACTGGCTCTGTGAACCTAGGTGAGCCAGCTCTCTGAGCCTCAGTTTTCTCAAGTATAGCATGGCATCATTAACACCTCCCCAAGAGGTATGCAACGACTCAGTGAAATGAAGAAAATCCTAGCTCTGTGCTAAGCAGGAGCTCAATAAATGTGATTTCTTCTCCTTTCTCCCCCTTTCCTGAAAGCAGAGCTCTCTCTCTCTGAAAGTTTTGGGTGAAAACGTTGAAAGTACGGGGTCGGGGGTGGATTGTGTGCCAGCCTCTGGCGGCCTAAGCTAGGACGCCCAAAGCCCTCCAAAGGGGGCTCAGTGGCACCTCCAGCTTCAATTCCCAAGCAGGGCTGCTTGGGCCCTAGGTGAGTCAGGGTCATTCTGCCGCCACACGTTGCTGGTTGTTAGTCTGGCCTCTGAAACGCCAGGCATACCAAGCCTGACCAAGGAGGGGTCCCTCCCTAACTGTCGCCGAGCAGAACATGGGGCTGGAGGTTCGAAAGGAGCCACAGAGCCAGGCGCATCTCCGGGCCTCACGGACCTTTGGCCGAGGTCTAGGCCCCTGAAACCCGGCTGAGTCCTCAACTCGGTAACCCCGTCCACCTAGGAACGCGGGTGCATTTGTTTGATCCCGAGCAAATATTTTTCTCCCTTCCCCAGGGCCTCAGTTTTTCTTTGGGATTTGGGGCGATTGGGTAATGCGCAGTCGTGAGATGGTTTCCAATCCACCCTGCTGGCCTCATGGTAAGTAGCCGGATTCTCCTAGTGGCAGTCTAGCTCCCTGCCAGCTCCTCCCCAGGGCAAGCTGAATCTAACCCGCCGACTCCGGATTCCCACCCGGGCTGAGATCGCCCGAGGCTGCGGGGATCGAGCGGCGCCGGGAAGGAAGCTCGGTGGACAAGCTAATTAGAGACCCAACTTGGCTGCTGATGGCGAAACGGGTTTTGGCCTTTGGAAAATGTATCTCATAAACGAGGATAGCTGGGTTCCGGGCCCGGTTTAGGAATTCGGGCTGGGGCGGCCCAGCGGGAAGGCAATGGCGTACACTTGGGGAGGTTTGGAACTCTACCGAGGCTCAGCTCCGGAGGGGAGCAGCCGAACGGGGAGAAATCGGCCCGCAGCTTCCGAGCAGACCTTTGGGTTTGGATCACCCTCCGCGCTGGAGCCGAGACCTATGAGACTCCTGGGCCAACCCCTGGGAGCCTTCTCCCGAATACAAAATGGGAGTATCCGGCTCCCATCTCCAAGCTAGGTATGGGCACGAAGGAAACAGGGGACGGAAGCGCCGGTCCTTGTAGGTGCCAGGTGCCAGCCGATCTCCCCACCGCGCAGTTTCCGCAGCAGTTAGTTCTCCTTCTGCCTCGTTCCCAGGGTCACCAGTTTCTCACCCCAAAAAAAAAGACCTTGAAAAGGTGTCAGCAGCCGCCGCCTCTGATTTATTTGTGCAATGGAAAACGGAGTTTAAAATCTTCTCAGCTTTCCCCACTCATTATCAACGAATTCTAGTGGTGATGCCTCAAAACCCATTCTGATCCAGTGGAAGGGAAGCTGCAAAGGGGACTTGAATGAACCACCTACCCCCTTCAACCCAAAAAGCGCATTTTGTTCCGGGGCCCCTCTCCTTGGAAGGAGTTAGGAATGGTAAACCGAATGCGATTTGACACACTCCTGAAAAGGCAGCAGGCATCCATCCCCCCACCCCAGTGTATGCATCTAGTTACCATCTCCATTTGCAAAGAGCTCTCTGTCCCTTCACCTCAGTTTTAAAATGGTTTTGGTAGCTGGGAGATTTCAAGTTCAAGATCTTCCCTTGATCATCTACAAACCACTCAGATTCTGGCTGATTCTTGGACCCTCCGCTTCTAAGCTCATCTTTCACTGGAGTTTGAAAAATTCCTAATGGCAATTCCACTTTTTTCCGTGAGTAACACAAGCTGTCAGAGGAAACATTTCCATGTATGTTGTTATTTTTCTATCAAGTTGCCCACCCCAGGCTGAATCTGGTCACAACATTTAATTGATTCACATTAAAATCATAATAAAAATCACCAGCACCCTTCCCCCCAAGTCTGGGTGGCATTTTGAGCTAAGCCTACCCAAGAACAGAGGGAACCTCCTAAAATAATCAAGAGTTTGGACAAACTTCACTGCAATAAAACAAACGTTTAATTTAATTCAGAATAAGAGATAAGAAATAACTCTTCAATAAAATATATAAAATTACACAAGGCACCCTTTCAAAGGGATAAAAGTGTATCTGATGGTGGGGGAGTGGGGATGGAGTTGAGGGGAGATAGAAAGATGAAATGCCGGGGAGCTAAATGGGCTGTCTGACAACACCATTTTTTGCAAGTCAAAACATGGCTTTACCCTCTGCCCCCAACATGTTAAGTATATAGATTTCTCTAATAAGTTTAGCACATACAACAGGTACACACATAGAGAAAAGCATGATTTTTTTTCTTTCTGGATCTATCCATTGTTCAAGAATATTTAGCATATAGGTAATAGTTATACGACATTCATTTTTTTAAAGCAGAGAATTAACTACACTCCCCATCCCCAAATCACCTTTGCAATCTGTGAGGATTGACACGTACCTAGTATTTAAGAAACCATTGATCTTTCCCGACATGCTTTAACTTTTCACTCTCAAATTATCTGAAACGGAGTTAAGAAACAGCCTAGAGAGGTACTGGGAAGTACTTCCACCTTCCACCTTATCCCGAGGCATTATCAGGATTCTTCTCATCCCCCTTTTATTGATCTTACCACGAAACACGTAAAACTTTAAAAATGTGTAGCAATGTGCAAGGGGAAAAATAGGGCCAAATGTGGTAGTATCTAATGAGTTTTTTAATGCAAGTAAAAATGCATAAGCAAGATGTGCCCCCATCACTTTGAGGAACCTCTCCATATCTATGTCCTATGCATATTATGTCTAATTCTAATACTTGCTTTCCAAAACCAAAAGTCAATCACACCATCAAAATCACCAAACCTCAGCAATTTCAGCAAATAATTTGTCTCCCACTACAAGAAAAAAATAAATGGACATAAGCAGTCTTTTAGGAAGGTGATATACATAAACATATGTATGTATACAAAATTTGTTTTCCAAAATACTTTGAATTTTTATGTCTGCTGTATAAAAATGTATTATATTTATTATATATGTATTTATATATGAAAACCATCAGAGCCAATCTTTGTGAAAGGATAATGGGTCATCTGGGAGATTACACCAAGAATACAGGGCTTGGTGCCTCCAGCCTAAGGAACAAATTCGAACTATGTCTGTGCCCTTGTCTGCCTAGCGCTTAGGGTGGCGCATGCAAGCTTTGCAGAGCAGGAATATTGGCTTGGTCTGCCTTCTCAGAGAGGGAGGGGGAAGCCATTTAAACCAACATCCATCACGGAGTCTACTGAGCTGGTCTTCCTTAGGATAGATGGTACATGCCGTATCCCACTGGAGTCGCATAGAGTCCCACCGGCGGGATGGGGAGCACAGGTCTATGGAAAGGGTAGGACGCTCCGTATAAGGATGCTGCTTGCAGGGGTGAGTTGATGGGGAAGGGAAGGCTGAAGCCAGAGGGCAGCATAGGTTTTGCAGCCATTTTCAGCTTTTCCAGTTCTGCCTCCTGCAGTCTTTTTGCCTTGGCCCGTCGGTTCTGGAACCAGATTTTGACCTGTGTCTCTGTGAGGTTCAGAGAGCTGGAGAACTCTGCACGCTCTGCAATGGAGAGGTACTGTTTCTGGCGGAACTTGCGCTCCAGAGCGAGGAGCTGGGACGTGGTAAACGGTGTGCGAGGCTTCCGATTGGTCTTGTGTTTCCGCAGGGTGCAGGTGGTGGGGCTCATGTGTCCTAGAGAACAGAGGCAAGTGAATTAGCAAAGGAAGTGACTATTGTCTTCAGGTGCGCTCGGGCAGGCCCCCCTTCTTCATATTTCAAAAAGGGACCTCTGTCAAAACCATGTGTAGTTTTGTTTTTTGTTTTGTTTTTGGCAGGCGTGTGGGGGGAGTAGAGAAGGACCATTTTTAAATGGATAAATGGCTTTATTTTTAAAAATTGAGCCTTTTTACAAAAGGTTTGGGAATTTAACATTGTGACAGAACTTTCTATACGGGAAGCAAACTGCTTTATAGATGGTGGAAATAGGACCTCTACAGACAGAACCCCCTCATAAGTGAAAGAAGCGGAATGTTAAACAAAACCCCATCTCTTCTGAGCTTCCTCTGGTTTTTAAGTGGGGGACTGTATTTGTTAATCTTCACTTTCCTAGGAGGCTGAGATAAACACATATGAGAAGTGAAAAGGGTCTTAGAAACTGGGTTGGTTCCCTTCTCTGTACCAGGAAAAGCTGGACTCAGCACATTTACGAAGGATAATCGTGCAGATAAGGTCTGTGGTAAATTAATAGCATCTTTGGACTGGGGAGCAGCCCCATGCAATAAACAACCACACAGCTGTCATCCCATCCAGTCTACAGATTATAAAACCTGAACATCATTTTACAGATCTGGATGTGGGATATTTATCTTGGCTGGGTACTTCTGTAACAAACTTGACTAAGGAGGAGGGAAAAATTAGCCCGCCCATAAATGTAAATGTCAGGGGACATCTCGCTGCCTCTGAATTGAGAGTATGTGATGACATCTTAGTCATCTTCTTTACCCATTCTATGGTTTAAAGCAAACATATGATTAGTTTGGTACCAAAACTTAGAAAGAGGGAATAACAAGCAAAATAAAGGTATGCCAACAGCACCCAGACTCCATATTTAAAAATATATTCAATTATAGGAAGTCACAGGACTAAGCATCCCTGTGATTCCATAGCATCACCCAACTTTGTGCTTCTTTTCGTCAAGGGAGGCGGGTAAAGAGTGTGGAGCTGTGGGACAGAATGCTCAACAATTAATTTTCTGCATTTGGCTTTTATGAGCGATACTAATTTTCCAAATGTAACCACAGTAGTAATTCCAAAGTACTCATGGAGAGAATGTCACATTTCTTGTTTAGTTACTTCAGTGGCCCAAGAGTTTACATTTCCTACTTGAGGGTGACACAACAAGACCCAACCCAGCCCCCATTTCCAACCACAAATGGGGTCTATTCTGTGTGGCATTATTAACGAACACTTTGTGACTAAAAAGAAAGAGATGGTGGGTTCTGCTATCAATCAAAAATCAGAAACCTGAGAGAGGGGTGGGTAAGAAACTACCACGGAAGTGTGGATTTTTGCATATGCTAATCCCTAAATGATCCAGAGAGCTAAATAAGCCCCAAATAAGCTAGGGCCCCTTCTTCATAATTTACAGATAGAGTAACGACACTGTCTGAGACTCAGAGGCCTGTAAAATTCTCACTCTTCACAAACCTGGTCCGGCTCTCTGGAGGGCCCAGCTGTCTCAGCTCCAACACCAAGCTCTGAGTTCTACACTGGATCCTGCTCTGTTTGTAAGCAACTCTGTGCCCCGAACGGTCATTTCGGCTCCTCCTAGGGGCTGCATTTGAAAATGAGGAAATCCAGGCAACTGGGATTGCACTTGTGTATCGAAGCTATAAAGCTGTGAGGCTTCCTCTCAGTACATTATTCCCCATCTCCTCACCCCTGCCCCATTTTAAACCAGCCGAGGAAGGATGCGATTATACAAAGCAAAACAGCATTTATCCTACTTCCTCCGAATAACAAAACCAGGCCGGCCAGGAGAGTGGCTCCCTCCTGCTCCAGGCTCCATGCCCTAGGCGCTCTCTGGACCTGCTGCTCCATCCACAGTGTTGTTCTTGATGCCCTCTCCAGGCCCAAAGCACCAGTGACCCATTTGTTTTAAAATTGAGTCTTTTCTCAGAATCTTGGATTTTTCTCATAGAAAGGTCATATACAGACAGGGCTCAACGCTTCCTTAACCAAGAAGGGGAAGCTTGACTACGTGGCAGGGATGACTACAGAGCAAGGAGGGAATTGTCATCCCAGAACCCCAAGGCTAAAGGAAGTAGAGATTTCTGACCTCTGGACACCATTCCCGGTAAGGCCTGAATCCTTGATGTGCCACTGGAAATTGACCCAGGCTTAGAAATACATGGGCGCTCAATTATTTGTCAAACAAATTAAGTGTCTTTAAGTTTCTGAGCCTCTATTTACCATCAATAAAATGGATAAATAATTCTGATCCCACAGTGTGGTTCAGAGTAAAAAATTTTGGAATGCCCAGAGTCCTCTCTGTCAGGAGGTAGGTGATCATTAAATGTTCCCAAGCTGTTTTTTTTTTTTTGGTCAAGCCCAAACTCAGTGTGTGCTGATTTATCTGAACTCTGCTGAAAAGTCCTTCTCTCTTACTAGGAGGCTGACTACTACCACAGAGATCAGATAAGATAATATAGTGAAAAGTGCTATAAAAGCACTGTGCAAACTTGAGTTTAAATTCTTTGAGTCCTTAATCTCCACGCCCTTTGGATCTTTCAGAGTTTCTAACAGGGTGGAAGAGATGCCAGAGGGGCCAACCACTGACGGCAGGGTATAGGGCCTTGTTTTTTTCTGCACAATACTGTGTGCATCACAAGTCTTGAGGGCTGAGTGATGTAAAGGACAAAGATGTGGTTCCTGGCTTTGGAAAAGTCCCTCTATAGGCCCCCTCCTTTGTCACCTTTCCTAGAGGTACAGTGCAAGTGAAATCTAAAGCCCAGGAGAAAGAAGTAAAAGAGGTATAGGGAATGACTTCTCCAAATTACAAACAGACCCAGGGCCCAGAAATGGATGCTAAAGGAGTAGGAGAAATCAGCCTTCCTGGGCCTGACTCTCTGCCCTCCTGCCTCCTTGGCAGGAAGCGGGGTGCAGGTGCAGGAACCTCCCCGTCGTGGTCTCTCTGGGGAGAGGGGTCAGAGGTAGCCAGGGCACGGTACAGAGGAGCTGGGGTTGGACACCAGGGCCCTTTGCTCAATTCAACCTTCGCTGGTGACCTAGGTCAAGCAAGTTCAGTCTTCTTGAAAGGATAACCACAGGTCCTGTGCCTCTGCCCACACTTCGGGGTTCCAGCAATGATCAGGAGCTAGCGAACTAATGAGCATCACTTTGTAAACTCTCAAGCCTACTGAATTGCTGTTAATCATTGCTGTGAGCCAAGTGGAGCCCGCTTCTGACCCCAGCCCGCTCCGGGCGAAGCTCAGAACTTTGCTGGCAAGGTGCTGGCTGCAGAGAACATGAGACATTGCTTCTCTGCATCGGTCTCTGCCACCTTCCTTTCGTGGGATCCTGCTTCGACACCCATGGAAAATGTCATTTCTACCCAATATTAGGTTAGATTTCGAGTGGCTCATCTTTAAAATGAGGGCACACTTCCCAAGTTTGTGAGCTTTGAAAGGTCAGACACCCACGCTTCTGACTGGCACACAGTCTGGTGTTCATTAAACGTGGACTCCCCCTTCACTGTCCAGACAGAAAACGCCAGCGGACGGCGAAAACAAAAATAAGCTAATAGTCGGAGCCTAGGGCAGAGGGCTAGAGAATCCGACAACCGAGCGAGCGGGCAAACCCAGCTGGGTTTCGCCCTTCAAAGACTAGCGAAGTCTGCAGTTCTGTCGAACACTTTGTACAGCGCGGGGATGCCCGAACACGCGCTGCGCGGATATTACCCAGAAGGTGTCTCGGATGCGGCCGGCGCGCTGTATTCTGGGGATAGTAAAAGGCCCAGAACTGGTAGGGTTGCTTTCCCGGGCGTATAATGCAAAAGGGTCTCCATACCCCAAGCCTGGAGTACCGTCCCCCAAGTTCTCCCCAGTAACCCCACGCACCCGCCCACCACTTGTCCCGGCCGGGGCGCGCACTTACTTGGCGGCGGGGAATATCTGCCGGGTTCCTGTATCCACGCCGCTCCGTCTTCCGAATTTTCCGACTTGACCGAGGCTGTCTCGAAGGGCTTTGCCAGAGGCCCGGGGCTGTGCGCTTCCCGGGCGCCGTGTCCGGGCAGCAGCAGCGGCGGCCGCAGGGTGGCCCCGGCGGAGGTGCTTTCGGCTGGCAGTGGGGACGCCTCCTTGGACGGCTTCTTGTCCGACATGAGCGCCTCCACGCTGAAGGGCAGGCTGGAGACCTTGACGCGGCGCTCCTCGGCGGCCCCCTCGGCGCCCCCAGGCCCCGGGCCTGGCCCGGCCACCATTGCCGGGCCCTCCTCATCAGACGAAAACAGGTCATTGCCTTTGGACGGAGAAGCCATGACTTCTCTGCCCTCCGTAGCTCCCGGCGCGCGACTCCGCTGGCAGCCGGGCAGTGGCGACTCAAACTTTTTTGGGGGGAGACGGGAGGGGCGCGCCGGGAGCCGAGCCTTTCCTCCAAGGGGAAGTGGGAGACGCGGCTCAGCCAACCCGCGCCGGCTCTGGCGCTGACGCCACAGACGCTCGCCTCCGATTGGCTCTTCCGGAAGAGGCTGGGGCTTTTTTTTTCTCCCCCTGTTTGAAATAAATTAGGAGTTAATTACAGGAACAGTCAGCAGAGTTGTGATTAGGCGATCCCTCAGGGTTATAATCACGCCAAAACTGAAAAGTCCAAGGCGTAATTAAGGCCGATTATTTAAGGAGGAAGTTCGCCGAGTCCCTTTTCTTCTCTTTTGACCCCTTTTTAAAAGGCACCTCGCGCTTGTGCCTGCATCCCCACTCCGCACCACCAGACCTCGTTTAAAATCTGCAACTGACATTACAAAAGTATGTATGAAGCTCCTACTGTGTGCTGAAACTGAACTAACTTTATAGTTTTAGCATTCAGCACTGAAAACACGGGCCAGCATCCCTGCTAAAGGAAATAATACATGCATGGCATTTCCAAGAGTATCACGCCAAGTCAGTGCTCAACCGCGTTCGCTATTACTCTTAATTCCCCTGGAAGAAGAGCGGCCACACGGAGCCCGAAGGGTGGTCGGACACTGCTCTCCCAAATAGTTACGACTGGAAAATTTACATCAGTAGTCCGCATTCCTTGCACTTGAAACAAAACAAGCGCACTCTTAGGAACTTGGAATCTGCGTGTCTCCTTTACCCTGAATCTTCTCTCTGGGTGAAATCCGTATCCGATCTTTTTCTCAAGACTGCAAGCATTGTGTGTTCGTGCATTTGTTTGAGCCTGTGTTTGTCGTGTGTGTTTGGGTGCCAGTGTTTGCCTTCGAGGGAGAGGAATGAAGAAAAGGCTCCGGTATTACCTAGTGCTTCCTTCTTGAAAATCTCGGAAATACCAGATTTCAAGTTTGCACACCCCAGGCCTGTGTACATTTTTGGGAAGCACATTTTTATTTATTGCATTTTTTTTAACGCACAACTATCTCCCGCTCCGAATTATACCCTAGGTAATTTTATCTCGAAGACTTAGTGATAACGTCTGAGTTCAGGGAAGGGGAGGGCCAGCTTCGAGTGCGCAGAGGCCTCCTATCTCTCCGCAGCCCACCAGTCTAAGACTGAATCTTTTCAAATGACTCTTTCCAGGCTGTAACTGCTCTTTCTTGCACCTGGGCAATTATCCTGCGAGTAATGAGGTAGATGGAAGTGTCCTAGCTCAGGCCCTGGAACACAGCAGATGCTTGCTAAACAGTTCCCAGATCCTTGGAAGGAAGGGACATTGTTCATAATTACTGAAATGACCAAAGTTTGGAGGCTACCTCCCAGTTCAAGAGTCTTAGAAACTTGACCCCAGATCCACTTTCCAGAGAGTTTCTTCGTACACTGTTTCCTTTACCCCAAACCTCTGCTGGGAATGAAACTGCTGGCCCAGAGTAACCTGAATAAGCATTATCTGAATCTAGAGAATAAAAATAGGCCACTTAATTCAGTTTGATTTACACCAGTAGTCCACCAGATACCCCAAATGGCTCTGAAAATGTTAAAAAGTAAAGAAGTCCTAACTAGAGTCTTCAAAAAACCTCTGGGTCCCTCTCCTACCACTAGGAACAAGCACATTCTTTCCCAACCCACAGCTCCAACAATTGGAAGCTCAGGGAAAGTGTTTTTTTTTTAATTAAGCTATCTGGATATAAATGTATTAATTTTCCCCTTGAGTCATACTTGATAGCTGGCTTGATATACATCTCAAAATACAGTACAGGTAAATACAGATTAAGTTCTGTGCCTTCTGAGGTATCAAGCAAGGTGCAGGCTATATATTTTGGAAGCAAACCTGAAAGACGTTTAGCCCTCAGCTGCCAAGTGTACAAAAGTTTCAATTGGGCTTTACACAGCCACTGTTTTATAACTGTTCCTGAAACTCGTTAATGTTTGTCAGTTTAGGGGTACACAGACTCATTCCTGGGGAATTAAAAAAAATCAATACTACAAGAGCTTTTGTATTTTAACAAACTTTTTTGAGAGAGAAGTCAGGTTCCCCCCACAACTTCCCAGTCCTAATGTCCAGCCAGAGAAAGAAAATTATGAAGACAGAAATAAGAAAATAGTAGAGACAAAACAAAAACAAAAATTGCTGTTCAAAGCCAGAGTACCAAGTTCTGGCCCTGAACAGGAGAGATGCCCAGGCAGCTTGCCCACCTTGTCTTCTGCCAGCTCCCTCCCAAGCAAGCTGCAGGGATGGGGACAATTCAGCAAAGGGTCTCACTACTGCTGGGAAAAGAGTGGAACCTCAACACAACTCTAGCGCTTTATGGAAAGCCCCATCTGTGCTTTTGCTTCTGCACTCGCTGCATTTTCAGAACATTTTATTTACCTCTTCCTAGTCCTATGACCACCATTACTTCGCCTCTCTCGGCCGGCTTTTTAAACTCTAAAATTGAGGGATAACCCCTACTGGGGATGGCTTTTGTAGTAATTAATTCAATAGATTACGTAAGTAACTAAAAGGTGTAGGGGAATTAAGTGTGTGTGTGTGTGTGTGTGTGTGTGTGTGTGTGTTCAATGCTCTCTCTCCACCAGATACCTAAAATGAGGCGCATCGTCCACCTTCACGAAGCTCACGATGGATTCTTTGTAAAATATCCGGGACTGAGAATTAGCGCGGACTGAAAAGTGTGGTCGTTTAGGGGGAGTCCCTTGCTTTGGCATTTAGGGGGCATTCAGTAAAGGTTAGTTCACTGTGACGTCTATGTACCTGCAGTCTTTGCAGGAGGGAGAATGGGGTACCAATCGAAACTCAGCACTAAGCGTCAACTCTGTACCATGCTAGTACCTGTCTTCCAGTATCTCATTAGTTTCTGCCAACATACCGCTACGGGGGGAGATTATTCCCCTCATTTTACAGATAAAAAGGCTATGGTTTGGAAACACTAAGCATGCTGCCCAAGGTAACGCAGGTAGGAAGCGTAGGACCCGAAGATCCTACTGGCACAGCACAGGCCCCCGGCGCTCAGACCCGCAGCCTGAGCTCAACCTTTACGCGCTCCCCGGGGCAATTGGCACGCGCTGGGGCCCGGCGTGGAGCAGCCGCGCACGCGCACTACCAGTCCCAGTGCGCAAACAGTCTTCGCAAACTGCGGAGGACTGATCGCGGACCGCAACGTTTGCAACCCCCAGGACCCATCGTCGGATCCCGGCGGCTAAGGAGGAGGCGCGGGGGGGGGGCGGTGCGCGGAGGAGGGGGCTGTAGACGGGCCAGGGCTGCGGGCAGGCGCCAGGCGCGGGGAGATGAAAGGCGGGCTCCAGGGGAAGGGGCTGCGCCGGGTGACCGGCTCCAGCCGCGCCGGGCGCCCCGCCCCCGCCCCGCCCCGCCCCCGCTGCCCCGGGCAGAGGCGGCTGCCCGCGCCGGAGCCGCGTTAATTGCTCTCGGCCCCGGCACTCAGCCTGCGCGGAGCCGGGACAACCTCGCTCCAGGAGGAATGACAATTCGCCCTAATGGGACAACCTCACTCCCAGAGGAGTGACAATTCCTTCTAATGGGCCTCTCGTTAGCGGCCTATTCTCCCGAACCCGGGTATCAGAAGCGGGCAGACAAGCGGGCGCCAATGTCCGCCTGGAATTCCACAGCACCGCTCCTCTCTCTACCCTCCCCAACCTTCCCACCCCCAAGTCATTCGCTGTGTGACCTCAGGCAAAAGGCTGCTCCTCTCTGAGCTCATTTTTCTTACCTGTGCTGTGGGAGTAGGAATGAGGAAGATCAGACCTCAGTGGGCGAGCATATTTCCAGGCATTTGAGAGATCACTTTCTGACTTACAGAGTGGGGATGAGGGATAGCGGGTATTCAGGGCCAATGCTTCAGGTACTTTGGGGGTCAAATCCCTTGCCTGTGAAGCTCTGGACAGGTTTTCTAAGGCCCTGGCCCACTGCGGTCAGGTCCCGATCCCAGCCAGTACTGTAGAGAAGGGGTCCTTGCCAAAGCGCTTTTCAGTTTGCACAGGCTGCGGGAAGCCTGAGCTTTCAGTGGCGCCCATTTTACAGATGGAGAAGTTGAGGCACAGACAGGAGACAGGCTGGTCTGAGACCTCCTGTGGCTGAGCCTAACTCAACATGGTTCCCGGGAAGAAGCCCAGGACAGACATCCTCTAGGGTAGGGGTAAAGAAATGGAGGGGTAGGGGAAACGCTGTGTTCCTCTGAAGACCCTGCAGGCTGAAGAGGGGCCAGTTCATGGAGACTTCCAAGTTTTTCCTTGCCACTTCAGGTGTGAGGATTGTGAAAGGGTAAAGAGTCTGGGGTTCTGCCCTTTTGTAGTTTTACGTTCAAATCCAGGCCCTACTTTCTGCCATTTGCCATCAACCACACTGGACCTCAGTAACCTCTTTCAGAAAATGTGCAGCAGGCACCCACACTCCAGTGGCTGTAGCAGTTGTCTCCAGCCTCATGGGGCTACACTATCTTTAAACCAAATTGAACCACTTATTTCCTGTGGGACTCTGGATAAATTACTTCACCTTTCTGCACCACAGTTTTCTCACCTGTAATATGGGAGTGTGTAGCAGTCAGCAAATGTTGGATATTATTATCATTTCTTAAATCATTATTAATATTATTATTTTTTACCTCCTTGTTCAATAAATCTGCCTGGCATCACACACATCTGGGGTCCAATGATCCAGTGTTGGATTATTTGAGGAATGAGAACTGTCTGGCTCTTGGTTTTTGTTTTGTTTTGTTTTTCCTCTGTAAAATGGGAATAACTAACCTTATGATAAGGTAGCAGAATGGCAACTCTGCTGAGTGAGGGGTGATGATTAAAAGAAGAAATGGTTTAGACTAACAACAAGGAGTATCTCCTGTTTCCAAGCCCCTGGGGACAGCTTGCTGGCACTTTCCCAGACCCTCCTGCACTGGAGGAAGGCCACCAGCAGGGCTCAGGTTTGATTTGTCTGCACAGAAAAATCCAAAGGGCTCCCTGGAAGAGGTGGTTCTGGGAAGTTG